AAAATTTTCTTCAAATATTACGTTATTAGGGGCCATAAGCGATTTATATCTCGAAAAGGGGAAACATTTTGAAAAGCAATATTGAACAAAAGTTGTTTAGAATGATGCTCTAGGGGCTCAGAGGTGCCAAAAGTCTTTTATCTGTAACTCTTTAACAGTAATGTTCATCTTCACGATCTGCTACTATATATATTTTCAAATCTTCATCAAGTATTACGTTACGTTTTTAGGTGCCATAAGAGGGGACAAAAACCTTTTATTTATTACTCTTTAATGATTAAAATTTTGCTAAACATAACTGAAGCAAATTGTACGTTTTGACTTTTTATATATTTATGAACGAAAATCTTAGTTAAATTCGTATCTCATCTTATCAAAAATCGGACGGAAGACCCACTCGTTGCTCGCAACGAGATCGCATCTAGTTATTATTCTTTTTTCTTCTTACAAAATTTGTGCAGACAATTTCTCGGAGATGGCTCGTTCGATTTTATTCAAATTTTCATGGTAGATGCGTTGACATCTGAAGTTAATTCCGGCAATATCGTTTTTTGAAAATCACTTCCGGTCGGAAGTTATCGCCCTTTTATTAAAATTCAGAGGACCTCCTTGTCTGCGATGGAACTCAAAAACGGCTTAAGCTAGAGCGCTGAAATTTTCAGTGATGATAGAGGACATGTTGCCATATTGCACCTGGGTTTAGATATTTTCCGGAAGTGCCTAGTATGGAAGCTCGGTAGGGGTCAAAATTTAGGACACGAATCATGAGTGAATTTTTGAGACATTTTGTATCATATCTTTTAAAGTATAATTTTTTTGTTAAAACATATTGAACAATATTTGTGCAGAATAAAAAGATCTGTAACATGATATCAAGAAAAAAAGGCTGACTAATCACATTAGGGGCCGATAGGGGCCGAAAGTGTTTAACCGATAACTCTTAAATAAGCAATATTTTTGTATACATTACTGAAGCAAAATTATTTATCTTAACAAACTACAACTATATATTATGATTTTTACGTCATATGTTACATAAATAAGGGCCACAAGGGGCCAGAATGCTTAATCTTTGAAGCTTTATATCTCGAAAAGGGGAAACATTTTGAAAAACAATATTGAACAAAAGTTGTTTAGAATGATGATCTGAACAATGTGCATCCTTTGAATTTTTCCTAAACAGCCCTTTTTAGGACTTAAAGGGACGGCCCCTAAATATTTCAAGTCTACATATCTCGAAAACGAAACGAAACTTCTGAATAGTTGTTGAGCAAAAAGTCTTCAGAATTACAAGAACTTTCAAGTGATACCAAGAAAAAGGGGCTAAGCCCTCAAATTAGGGGCTCAGAGGGGCCAAAAGTCTTTCATCTATAACTCCTTAACGTTAAATATTTTGATATTAAATATTGAAGCAAAAATGTTCATCTTTACAATCTGCAACTATATATCTTAAAATTTTCTTCAAATATTACGTAATTAGGGGCCATAAGGGGCCAGAATGCTTAATCTTTGACGCTTTATATCTCGAAAAGGGGAAACATTTTGAAAAGCAATATTGAACAAAAGTTGTTTAGAATGATGATTTGAACAATGTGCATTCTTTGAATTTTTCCTAAACAGCCCCTATAAGGACTTAAAGGGACGGCCCCTAAATATTTCAAGTCTACATGTCTCGAAAACGAAACGAATCTTCTGAATAGTCGTTGAACAAAAAGTCTTCAGAATTACAAGACCTTTCATGTGATATCAAGAAAAAGGGGCTGACCCCTCAAATTAGGGGCTCAGAGGGGCCAAAAGTCTTTTATCTATAACCCTTTTACAGTAATGTTCATCTTCACGATCTGCTACTATAAATATTTTAAAATCTTCATCAAACATTGCGTTTTTAGGTGTCATAATGATCAAAAATTTGTGAAACATAACTGGAGCAAATTGTACGTTTTCACCATTTATATATTTATGAACGAAAATCTCAGTCAAATTCGTATCTCATCTTATCAAAAATCGGACGGAAGACCCACTCGTTGCTTGCAACGAGATCGCATCTAGTTATTATTATTATTTTTAAATACTCTTTTCCATAGATTATGTATCTGTTTATTCTACATGAGGCAGAAGTGGATTTCTGTATATCCTTTAAATTAGCACCGTCTCTTGCTGCCTCTTGTTGATGTATCAGACATTTTTTATGTGTTCAGTTATATGTATAATATTAGTAATAGTAATGCACATCATTGCACATTAAGTTGTATCAATTAAGAGTACAGATATATCTTAAATCAAGACAACCTATGTCTATATGTGAAACTCAAAACACCACCAATGTACTAAATGGGAAGAATTGCTCTTCATTATATGTTGTATTCTGTCTGTTATCTTATCTGTAATTATACATGTTATATGTTTATGCCCATTGGGCCCTGATTTGGTAATAAATCCTATTCTATTCTATTCCATTCTATTCTATTCTATAGCATTTATCTATCTTAATTGCATTAAGAGTAATCTAACAACTGCAGAATTAAACATTAGTGGTCATGTAACAGGTTGCTCACAAGCTGTAGGTACGTTGCATCACTCAGTCAGTCAGTATTTGTATCACAGCATTGGAAAGAGAAATGACCATCCTAATCTTTAATTTTGCTTAAAAAGATAAACTTATCCAACGTTTACCCAAAAATATACATGAAAAAAAAACATATTCAACATACCACTATCTGTGTTTTTGTCCAACTACTCCAAGTTGGAAATTTTCCTTTTTCTCCCGCAATTCCTCTATTGTTGTTTGTTTCATTCTTTCCGACTCTTTTGCTAGAGAGCTCTTGCAAGGGAGGTAGTCCAATCGTTTTTCAACAGAGTTTTACAACATTTCATTCAGATATTTTACTTAAAGTCTTTAGTGTCTACCCAATTTTATTTATTTAATTTATTGAACAGAGTATTCTCCTTCTACAGATATATGTAAAATTTTCTAAAGTTGTCTGGATTTTGCAAACAACATAGCTCTTCATGCAATATAATTCTATAGGTAAAATCTAGTAAAAATCAATTACAAAATAAATTTTCCTTATATAACAGAAAAATGTATTTCAAAGCACTTTATGACCCACATTATAAAATTATACATGGAGTTTGGGTGTAATATACATGAATTATAACAGGATAAGGCAGTCCAAGTATTTCTGTAATAAAATATAGCAAATGCCCTGGTTGCCATGGAAACAAGAGGTCATATGCCTGGGTAGGTATATTTTTTTTTGAAAGACTATTCATATGCATCATGTTCACAAAATTTGAGCTAGAAATAATTTTTTCCACTTTTGGTTATATAGCATGAAGCTCAATACTTAGTGACATGCTCTCTTAATTACAATTTTTGCGGGGAAAAAGGAATGTAGAAAAATTAAATTCAAACAAATTTGAAAGTTTAGGATAAGGAGCAAAAATATAAGAAACCCAATCATTTTAGTTGAAAAGAAGAAGGTATGGTTTTAGCTTTATTGTGCCCTAAAAAAATTAATGTTTTCAAAAAGTTTTGAAACTGGCTTAAATATTAGTTGAGTATATGACTGTAATAAATCAGGAAAGAATATAGCATGATGGAGTACCATTCTGGATATATGACGTCATTAATTTGATGCATTTCTCTATTTTAAGCAGAAAAAGACTCAAAATGACCCATTTCAAGGGTTATTTTCCTTAAGAAAATAGTGTCCACAGCCGTCGCCTAAGTTAATTTTTAGATATGTTGTGTAAAATTCTTTGAAAAATCATATATCTCAAATTAAAATCTTTGTGGGCGATGCCTGTGGACAATATTATCTGAAAGAAAATTCCATTGAAAATTGAGGTCTTCTGCAACTTTTTAAGAAAATACGGGAAAATGCACAAGTTTATGACGTCACAATTAGCATTTGGAAGGTCATGTGTGAAAAAAGATTTGTATGATCTTTCTGCATGAAATTTCAATAATTCAAAGAGCATGAGTTAATTCTTTACATCACTTTTATTTTTAAGAAAAACACAGGGCAAGATTTGTATTGAAACCGTACCTTGTTCTTTATAATAGAACCGTTGAAAGTTTTCTTTCTTCCTTTTGATTTAGTCAATAAAATATGTTCAAAACAAAGTTTTCTTTAAAGTTTGTCATTCAGCCTTAATTGAAAAAAAAAAATCAATGAAGCTAGAAAGAATTTAAATTTAATTAACTCTTGTAAATGATGAAATCTTTTGTTTTTAAATTAAAAAAAGATACAAACTTGTTACGTCGTGAATGAAAAAAACCATCAACAATAGCAAAGCTTTCCATGCATTTTTATTAATATGAGAGTTGATTCAATAGTAATGTCAAACCTGCTATAAAATCTTTAATAATTTAATCTTATCAACAAAATTTAATACGCTAATAATTCTATTTTAAAATTTTCACCTTAAGATTTCATTTAGATATATGCAGTACTTTTTAAAATATTAAAAGAAACACAACGCTGGGTCTCTTATATCGCAACATGACAATAATGTACCGACGTCTTTATGACGTTTCTCTTCGGTGCTCATTTTCAGCTTATCCTCGACTAAGATCTACCCAAAACGGAATGAATTTAGAAATAACACATGGGTAAAGTTAAAAAATATTTAATACATCAATTCAAAAAGGCGATATATTAAAATGGCAGTAAAGCTAATTAAAAAGAAGCACGTGAGAGTTTAATAAATTATGCGATTGAACTAAAAATTAGTGCCGAGAAGTAACGTTATAATGACGTAAGTAACATTCTTGCCGTGCAGCGATAGACAAAACCTAACGTTGTGTTTATCTTAATATTTTTTTTAAAAAGTATTCTATGCAATGAATGAAATCTTAAGAAAAAAAAATCAAAATAGATAGGAAAATCAATGTGTTAAAATTTTGTGATAACATTCGATTATCAAAGATTTTATAGCAGTTGTGACATTAGTTTTGGAGCAACCCTCGTATAATGAACCCTTTACTATTTTAGGATGTGACCCCGGCTGGCTTTATCATTCAGAACACTGCTATCTTCTCACTCATAGAAAAACGTCTTGGCATGACGCACAGGTATAGTGTGATCAGAAATTGGCTAGCAAAAAAGTGTGTCATATTCGTTTCATATCAGAAAAAAATCTTTCCAACTTATTTGAATTCTTTTAAAAATTTCTTTTGGAACCAAGATCAAATTATAAACATGCACTGAAAATACAGGATATAAATTTAAAAATTATATAATATTCCACAGAATATGTCAACAATTTTATCTGATTTAAAAATTATAAATTGATCAATAATATCTTATCTTTTTTTCATTAAACATTTCTTTTGTTTTTACTTTGTGTTGTCATATACAAATAGCTTCAATGTGAAAGTAATGGGGCCTTCCTCGCTGAGATCAAATCTGCCAAGGAGAACTCATGGATTACAGAAAAACTCATGGGTCTGTATTTTTATCATGCTTGTAACACTGGGTGAATGAATTTTGAGGGGTTTTTTCATTTAATTCAAAAGAAATATTCAAATGATATTAAGGAGATCGCATGACTCTTAAAATGAGCTTAATGTGTCAAAATATAATTTATCAAAATTACTTGAAAAATTATTCCCTTCTCTCAGTGGATGTGTATTCTGATTTTTTCCCCCATTTGTAATACTTCGAATTCCAAGAAAGAAAATTATTTTTTTTTTGTTTGTCTTTCTTTCGTTATGTAAGGCTTTGGAAGCTAGAGAGAAATTGTACGTTATAAAAACTCTGATATTATTTTCAGTGGTTCTATCATTTTTGGTACGTAATGATTCAAATGGCCCTGCTTTCTATCACTTTCCCAAGTAGTAAAATAATTGATATATGTCTAAATATGCCAAATAACGTTTAAACGCACATTATTAATTTTTTCCATTTGTAGATACAAACATGTTTGTTCTTCAAGAAAGCCAAGGGTTGCCTGATTTTACTGAACAAGTGTGGATTGGTGCAAATGATATTGATAATGAAGATTCGTTCATCTGGAGTGAGACGAATTCTACTTTGAACTTCTCGAATTGGAATCAGGGAGAACCAAATGATGAATACGGCGAGGATTGCCTGGCAATTATCCACAAAACAGGAAAGTGGAACGACCTTCCTTGTTCATCGAATCTCAGTTACATTTGCGAGAAAAGAAAATAATTTAAACTATTGTGAATAAACAACACTTCTTTGTAAAGGCTCTTCTTGTTAGATAATGATTTGTTAGACTTTTAAAAATTTGAATAAAACTTATTGGGCAGAAAAAATACTATTTTTGTGTTCCATTTGGTTAAGTGGGACTATTAAACTTTGATTTAAATGAACAAATGTTAGAAAATAAATAAGCAAGAGCAATTAACGTGAACTACACATGATCTTGAGCGCTAGCAACTACGTTACTCAATTTTGATAGCATATGCACACTCAAATTCACTCTGTAAAAAGATAACATATTTCAGTTTCCTATTATCTGACGTCCTTATTTTGTCGTCTAACTTGTATAAAAAAAAAAGTACAAGTAAATTAGGGCCTATGATGCCAAGATTGCAAAAGTCAGATATTTTTCAAATTTTACAATTTACAATTTTCAAATTGATAATAATTAAAAACCTAGCTTTTCTCAACCACCTTCTCAGGGCTTTCCGACAAGATAGGAAAACATTATTTAAGGTCAAGATCTGGTAAATGAGTTTGACTGTCTTTATTGGTGCTAGATTCATTATGACGTCATAGTAGATTTAAACGTATATTTTCCCGTACTTTATTGCTTTAATAGAAATATATAGAAAATGAAGCACTTTCATGGAATTCAATTTGAAATCATGTTAAAAATAACCCCGATGCCTGCATTAAATTTAATATCATTTTAAAGCAGAGGTCAAAAAGATAACAGTTTAAAACCGTTTTCAGGGAGACTGTAGGCAATCTGGATACATTTCAGTTCCCTGAGTTCGAAAATACTCCAAAATTTATATCTGATTTCCTTCATTTTTCATGGAAAATGCCAGTTTAAAATATGTTTTTTCGTTGAGTTTACCTAAAAATTATGTCCGGATACACCTTATTTTACCAAGCTATATTTGTAAAGGATCAATAAAAGAACTTGTGTCTCATATTTGAAAATTCTGTAGGCACCTTTCATTTACTAGATCTTGACCTTAAGTGTCAAATTTCTTTAGACAATGCTTTAACTGATGAGAACCGACTATGCACAAAATTTTAACATCCAGTGACAATACGTTTTTACGACCTTGTCATAAAAGGCCCAAGAGGATGCGATTGCTAGGGAGGAATATTTCAATGTTTCAATGAATTTAGAAATAACATATTTTCAATGTCTTAAAAAATGTATTTTCCGCCTCAATATTGAATTATGTACAGTGAACAACGATTGTTTAAAGCACAGTAATGCCATTGCCGACAAGAAGCCCACTCGAGATTGACCTTTCTGAATTGAAACTCCCTTCCCCATCCCCAGTGCAGTACCGATTTCCTATTAAAAATTAATCGATTCAGCAAAATAAACCAATGGTTCAGAAATCTACTTTGTTTTTTAATGGCTTCAGCGCTAGCTCACCTATCTTTTTAAAAGCTTGTATTCCTATTTTCAAGAAAGAACATTAATAATTTTATTATCTCCAAAAAGACAAAATCTAATCAGTTAACAAACTGCATCTCATACATTCGAATGTAATAATTTATTATTGATGACTATTAGAAATATTAAAATGTTTGTCTTGTTTTACATATTTCTTGAAATGTAAAGCTGTTTAATTATTATTAATTTTTTAAAGGGATCGTTGCTTCTGTTTCAGGAATATAAATAATTCAGTCATAAAAACAAAGAGATAATATGATATATTAAAGCCGAAAAATATGAATATTTTAAAAGTTCATAAAATAGAATTAATTATACATAAGACAACCTATATATCAGCCTTTTGCGTGTTCATTCTTAACTTCATACCAGGAACCTTTCTATATACAATTCCTAAACAGAAAACATTACAAAGTCCTTCACGTGCAAAATGTCATTGAAGATATGAGTACAGCGGACATACATATATCTCTATCTACAGTTCTGGAGAAGGTCGAGCATATAAATAGCACGTTCCTTCTCTTACTGTCTATTATCACATCATGAAGGATCTAAACAGTATTCTTGAGGAAAATCTACCAAGAGAGAGATAGAGATTAAATACTGACCACTAGCTGCTGGAGTCCGTCTCCTTTCAATAGCCCTATTTTACACCATTACATGCGTTTCTAGCACATACAATAAACAATTGATGACGATAAAAACATACAAAAAATATGGGCATAATTATTGTTACAAAATATTCATTTGGGCTTCATGCAGACTTTTAAATGCATTATACTAATAAGCACTAACATAGAATGTAGTATTTGTAGTGTTTTGGTTATTGATGTTGAGAGATCTTAAAACTAGACTGAAGCTAGCAGCCAATAACAGCAGCCATTAAGCCCGTAGAAGCTAGCAGCCAATAAGGAAATTCATCAAAGGACTGAGAGTACTCTGACGCAATACTGTTTAATGCCTCATTTTCGACAATTTATAATTAATAATTAGATAATTAATGCAACACTTAATTATTAAATAATTCAAACACTTGGAGGCAGTTAAGCTCACCTGCATAAGGAAAATTATGCGGTTTTAAAACAAACAAACAAACAAAAGAAAAAATGTCACCATCTTTGACCGCTTAAGAACAAACCAACTTTGGAAATAGGTTAAGTACTTCCGGGAGAATCCCTTTTAAGCTCTTCTACGGGTCTCAGGAACATGATGGTGCCAAAAGGCTAACCTGAAATTTGCTTACTCCTAATATTTACATTGATAAGGGTTTGAAGGTAATTTAATCTATTTTAAGTTATTATCCTTGAAGTGTGCTTCGAACAATTACTGGCACAAGGTAAAGGGTCAACAGGGCCATTATATACGGCCATGAAAATTAGGCTGAAGTGGTACCACCAAGTGGTGCCAAGGGCGGGTTACATATTTCAAGCAGCTATTATACCTCTTATCTTATACGTGTGGTGTGCTTTAAATCATTACTGTGGCAAGATAGAAGATTTCTAGGACTATTATTTCCCGCAATCGGTATGAGGCTGTAGTGGCACCACCAAGTGGTGCCAACGTTGGGGAACATATTTCAAGCTATCATTTTTCAACAATCATTGACCACTAGAACAAAATAAACCAAACTGGAAAAGAGTTTAGGACCTTATGGAGTATCCCTTGTCAATTTTTTGACAGGTTCCAATGACTAGAAAAGGCCAGTTAGGTAACCTGAACTTTGTTGGTTTTCACTTTGTCTATTGATATATGGATTAAAAGTCAGATGTTATACCCCTTATCTTTGAAGTGTGCTTCAGATCAATACTGGGGCAAGGTAGAGGGCCCCTAGGACTATCATTTCCCGCTATCAGAATGGGGCTGTAGTGGTACCACCAAGTGGTGCCAAGGGTGGGGGACGTATTTCAAACATTCATTTTGAAAGCATCTTTGCCTACTAGAACAAAGTAACACTAGTGAAAGGTTAAGGACCTTACGTAGAACCACTTGCCAGGTTTTTGAAGGGTCCCGGGGAAGAAAAAGGGCCAGTAAGCTAACCTGAATTTTGTTGTTTTTCACTTTGTGTTTTTCAATATACAGTTTAAAGGTCAGCTATTATACCCCTTATCTTTGAAGTGTGCTTCAAATCATTACTGGGGCAAGGGCCCCTAGGACTATCATTTCCCGCTATCAGAATGGGGCTGTAGTGGTACCACCAATTGGTGCCAAGGGTGGGGGACGTATTTCAAACATTCATTTTGAAAGCATCTTTGGTTACTAGAACAAAGTAACACTAGTGAAAGGTTAAGGACCTTAAAGAGAACCACTAGCCTGTTTTCGAAGGGTCCCTGGGAAAGGAAGGGGCCATTTAGCTAACCTGAATTTTGTTGTTTTTCACTGTGTTTCAATATACAGGTTAAAGGTCAGCTATTATACCCCTTATCTTTGAAGTGTGCTTCAAATCATTACTGGGGCAAGGTAGAGGGCCCCTAGGACTATCATTTCCCGCTATCAGAATGGGGCTGTAGTGGTACCACCAAGTGGTGCCAAGGGTGGGGGACGTATTTCAAGCATTCATTTTGAAAGCATCTTTGGCTACTAGAACAAAGTAACATTAGTGAAAGGTTAAGGACCTTAGGGAGAACCACTTGCGAGGTTTTTCAAGGGTCCAGGGGAATGAAAAGGACCAGTAAGCTAACCTGAACTTTGCTGTTTCTCACTTTGTGTTTCAATATACAGATTTAAGGTCAGCTTTTATACCCCTTGTCTTTGAGTGTGCTTCAAATCATTACTGGGGCAAGGTAGAGGGCCCCTAGGACTATCATTTCCCGCTATCAGAATGGGGCTGTAGTGGTACCACCAAGTGGTGCCATGGGTGGGGGACGTATTTCAAGCATTCATTTTGAAAGCATCTTTGGCTACTAGAACAAAGTAACACTGGTGAAAGGTTAAGGACCTTAAAGAGAACCACTAGCCTGTTTTCGAAGGGTCCCTGGGAAAGGAAGGGGCCATTTAGTTAACCTGAACGTTGTTGTTTTTCACTTTGTGTTTCAATATACAGGTTAAAGGTCAGCTATTATACCCCTTATCTTTGAAGTGTGCTTCAAATCATTACTGGGGCAAGGTAGAGGGCCCCTAGGACTATCATTTCCCGCTATCAGAATGGGGCTGTAGTGGTACCACCAAGTGGTGCCATGGGTGGGGGACGTATTTCAAGCATTCATTTTGAAAGCATCTTTGCCTACTAGAACAAAGTAACACTGGTGAATGGTTAAGGACCTTAGGTAGAACCACTTGCCAGGTTTTTGAAGGGTCCCGGGGAAGAAAAAGGGCCAGTAAGCTAACCTGAATTTTGTTGTTTTTCACTTTGTGTTTCAATATACAGGTTAAAGGTCAGCTATTATACCCCTTATCTTTGAAGTGTGCTTCAAATCATTACTGGGGCAAGGTAGAGGGCCCCTAGGACTATCATTTCCCGCTATCAGAATGGGGCTGTAGTGGTACCACCAAGTGGTGCCATGGGTGGGGGACGTATTTTAAACATTCATTTTGAAAGCATCTTTGCCTACTAGAACAAAGTAAC